GGTCTGCCGTCTTGGTCCGAAGAGAGATTAGCAGGTGCTGGACAGGAGTTGAAGATGTTCTCAATCCAGAGGAAGACATTCCCCTTACGGAAACCAAAGAGGTCAGAAAGGGAAGACTGTCATCAATGCATTCTGTGGTGTTTATTGTCTGAAGCCGGCCGGGGGGGCTGGGGGCCTGTGGTCCCCTCAGATGTAGGTGGAATGTCCTTCACAAGCAGGCTGTCAGCTGTGCCTGGAAATCCCGTCTCCAGACTGACTGGCATCTCCCCCAGTAATAGCTTCTTGTGCTGCCTGTGTGGCCTGGCGGCTTTAAATCACACCTTCGGGTGGGTGCGATCTTCCACCCAGAGCTGGCAGGGGAGGGGGCTGAGCCCCTGGGGAGAGTTGGAATGGCTCCAGGAGACCCCGGCTATCTTGTGTGACCTTGCAGCTTTAAATCATGCCTTCAAGTTAGTTGCAACCTTTCACCCAGAGCAGGCAGAGGAGGGGGCTGAGCCCCTGAGGGGGAGACAGGCCATCTCCAGGAGACCCCCGTTATCTCCATGAGCCCCAAGCCGATCAACATACGTATGTGAAACCCCCATCCAGTGGGCGCCCCACAGCATGCCCCATGAAAACAACAGTAATGCCTTAAAAACCCCGGCCACTTCCTCAAAGCCAGTGTCCCACTTGGGCACTCCACCTGCTGACCTCTCGGACCAGACGCCTTCTCTGTCGCTTGCCAATCAAATAAAAGTTTCTTTTCTGTCAAATAAGTTTCTGCCTCTTTGCAAATTGTTCCCTGGTTTTTATTTCTATACTAAGCTGAGGAAAAGAACGCACGAAATTCCCCCGGCAACCTCCCTCTCCTCTGTGACCAGTAACATTTCCCCTTGGAGACTCGATTTGGGCAACACCAAGTCGCTACTTCATATCCAGAGTCCCTGATCTCAGGCCAATTCCGTGAGGGAGGGATTATCGCTCCCATAGAATGAGGCTCATGGAAGTTAGGTGTTTTCTATACGTCCAGCAGTGAGCAAGTGGTGCAGGGAGTTCTTAGTCCCAGGCACTCTTTCTGGGCCCTGAGAGGTGCTCTCGCCCCCTGCCCTGTACAGGGAGCACAGGGCCCCTGGGTACGCGCTGGTTGTGGGGGCCCTCGCTCACACCCTGTCCCTCCCCAGGCTCAGGGCTCACCCGGCAGCATCTTCGCAAGGGAGCACAAAAGACGGTGGGAACACAGCTGATAGAGCCTTCTGGTGGTCTATCTGTCCTGAAGCCGTGGACCCGACCTCTCTCACCAAGAGCGTGCTGAGGGCACGTGCTGGCTGCTACTTCCTTCTCCTCTTGGCTCATGCTCGCGGAAGCCTGCGGTGGGAGCGCTGGCGGGGAACCTCCAGACGACTCGGCCCTAGTGCCAGCATTTGTTCAGACTCACTGACCCTGCGTTTTCACACGGCGTGTGATGAACAAGGATCTCTAAGTGCAGGACAAAAACCCGAGTTTAAGTCGTGGATTTCAATAGCGCTACAAAGTTAGGGTTTAACATATTTGACTTTTTCTATAGCATTTGTCCACGAACTAAAGAGACACGTGCGACATTTTCTTCCTTGACAAGTGAGGTGTGTGATTTCATTTTCTTAAAACAAAACAAAACAACAACAAAAAACACAGGCAAGAAAGGAATACACAAGGCAATGACACAGGCTATTCTCTCTGAGCCTGGCATCACTCAGGGACAGCCAGTCCCAGGTAACCCGGATGGGATGCAGTGTGAAGACCATGCTGTCACTTCTGGAATGTTCTCTCCAACAACCTTCCCCTGCACCAACCAAGCCCTGAGGGTCTTGACGGTACCTGCAGGCTACAGGAAAGAGGGAGAATGGAGGAACATGTGACAGGATGCTGTGACGAAGCTGTCAGACTTTACTGGACAACCGTCTGTGTTTTGAAGACAAATTTGCATCATAAGAAAAAGGGAAAGATTGTTCTAGAAGAAAAGAAACTAAGGCTGTGCAACAATCAGGTCAGTCTGTGAGCATTAGTCCAGGCTGGAAATAAGTCCCAATACAGGCACTTTAGGTCCTTGAGGGCAATTTGAATATGGACAGGGTATTAGTTAGGACTATAGAATTGTTTTAGATTTTCTTGGTGTCACACTAACATTGTGATTATGTAGGAAAAAGTCTTTTTTTTTTAAAGATTTATTTATTTACTTAAGAGACAGAGTTACAGAGAGAGGGAGAGACACACAGAGAGAGAGGTCTTCCATCTGCTGGTTCATTCCCCAAATGGCTGTAACAGCCGGAGGTGTGCCAATCCGAAGCCAGGAGCCAGGAGCTTCTTCCAGGTCTCCCACATGGGCACAGGGGCCCAACCACTTGGGCCATCTTCTACTGCTTTCCCAGGCCACAGCAGAGAGCTGGATTGGAAGTGGAACAGCTGGGACTTGAACCAGCACTCATATAGGATGCCGGCACTGGAGGTGACAGCTTTACCCACTATGCCACAGTGCCTGCCCCTACCACTCCTTTTTAATCTTTGTGGTGGATATAAGAGTATTCATTCCTTTAACTTTTCTGTAGGTTTGCATTTTTTCCATAATGGGCAAAATGATGTTAGGCTTAGTTTTGGGGCAGAATGCATTTTTTAAAATTAATTAATTTATTTGAGAGGCAGAATTACAGAGAGGCAGAGGCAGAGAGAGAGAGAGGTCTTCCATCCGCTAGTTCACTACCCAGATAACGTCTGGAGCCAGGCCAATCTGAACCCAGGAGCCAGGAACTTCTTCCGGGTCTCCCACATGGGTGCAGGGGCCCAAGGACTTGGGCCATCTTCCACTGCTTTCCCAGGCCATAGCCAAGAGCTGGATCGGAAGCAGAGCAGCCGGGATTTGAACCAGTGTCCATATGGGATGCCGGCACTCCAGGCGGCAGTCTTACCTGCTACACCATAGCGCCGGCCCTGGCAGAACGCATTTCAAAATGTGGACTAAAACTTAACCAGAGCATCCATGGCGCTCGAAGACTGCTTTCAGCTTCCAGCCGGATGTGAGGAGTTCTGTATTCTGTGCCAAAGACGCCGGCTGTGGGGCAGGCCTTGGCCTTGACAAGCTGCACAGGGACTGGGCCGTGGCCTTGCTCTTTGAGGTCTGTTAACACAGCAGGGTCTTTCACCAGCCTCTCGCAGGGCCAGGCCCTGTTCCTGGGCAGGCTGCTCTGGCAAGCCTTTTGAATTTTGAAGAATGTTAAGTTGAACCTGCTGCATTTCTACCTTCATTGATGCAAACCGTCAGTCTGGCCCAAAGCTGTATTTCTAACAGGGGCTTGGAGAGGGGAAGGAGCTGAGTGGCAATCATGCAGTTAGGGGCGGAGCTGGAGTTTGCACTCTGGTCTCCTGGCAGCCAGGCTGGGGTCCTCTCCCTCAGATCCTCTCCTCTCCTAGGATTGCACCCGCCCTCATCACGCGATCCCCCTCTGCCACTCTCTCAGCCCCTCGTGACTCTATTTTACATTCTAGTCCAGAGCCGGCTGCAGTCTAGGGGGGTGAGACGCAGATCTGCAGTGGAGGACAGGTGCCGTGGGCAGGCCAGCGATGGCACTCCCGAGACAGGAGTGGCAACGGGGGAGTGACAAGCAGACAGGAGCAGTCAAAGAACTTTGAACCCCAGGGATATCCAGTGCCAGGGCACATGGTACGTGAGGCATACTTCACAGCAGGGATTTTATCAGCCAGTGGAGAGCAGATAGCTCTCCCAGGTACCTAAGCACGTGGGCTGCCACCTGTGTGGGGCCCTCAGCTGGGTGGGAAGCGGCCTGTCTGGGATTACAGGGTTCCCACAAGCTCCCAGGCTGACTTTGCTGCATGGACACCTGTGGGAGCCTATTTATTTATTTATTTATTTATTTATTTATTTTGCACCAGTCTCCCAAGTGGAACTTCAGGCAGGGCCTGTGCTAAAGCCAAGTTTGAGCATTGTTGGGGTAGGGATGGGGGCAGCACTTTGGTTCGGAGCCAAACTGGCTGGATCCAGATCCTTGCTCTGCCAATTTCTGTGTGTGCTTATGATGCGCCTACTAATTTATCTGTGTAATAAGTAAAATAAATAAATACCTGTGAGTCTGTATGAAACAGAGATAGTAAAGGCCCAGACTGACAGGAGGATTAAGTGATGGTGACCTTGGCCCAGAGCTGGGGTCTGCAAATACCTGAGTGAGGACAGTGTGGTGGAGGAGGGGTGAGGGTGACGGCTAGAGGCAGGGCTGTGCCTGGAGGATCAGGGGAGCCTCAAGGAAGCTGGGGTGGCTGGAGCAGAGTGAGCGAGAGGAGAAGCAGTAGGTGAGGTCAGGGAAGTGGGAGGGGGAGTCAAGTTTGGTTTTATTTTTGCTGTTTTTCTGTCTCTTTGGGGTTAGCTTTTATTTTATGGAAAGATAATGATTTCTCATTTGTTGCTGTTACAAAGTGCCCTTTGAAAATGATCTTAGAAGAAACAATCAATGTAAGGGAACAAAGAATGCAATAGAGCCCACAGACAAGCAACATTGGAAAGGCTAGGAGGCTGGGGAATGGGGAGGGGCGATGCTCTCTCCCTCACCAGCATCACCTGGCCCAGGTAGGTGACGTGTTGCCAGCAACCTTGGATGTCAAAACCAGGTCCTAGAATTAGAGCCAGGATGTCAGTTTTCAAGGTGGAGGCCACTTCAAGCCCCACCCCTCATTTCACAGATGGAGACAAGGGTACCTGCTGGTGGTTCATCTCACTCAACATCCCGCTGCCCCCACCCCAAATCCAGGCATTCAGATGTACAAGTTCCCCCTGAACCCTCTCAGTAAGGTTTGGCTGCAAGGACTCCTTTGGCTCCAAAGACCTACTCCTGTGGCTCCCACTGTGGATGGCAGGAGGGAGTGGAGGGTCTGCCTGGGGGCTGCTGGCCTAGGACCTGCCCCAGGGGGAGGGAGGGTGGGAGCAGGCCACGCCCAAGTTCAGCTGAGCTATCTGTGGCTTACCAAGTCAGGTGCTGGCGTGCTCCTGGTAGGATGGGACCACCCCTGCTTTGACCAGCACTGTGTCCCCTTTGCGGCCACCACCCTCTGTCTTTCCAGGCAGAAGTGGTTGTGGGTGAGTTTTGAGGGTCTGGGGAGCCCTGGCTGACTCTTCACCTCTGAGTTTGCTCCTTTTGTCTGTGGTCTTGAGTCACATCCTCGTAGGAGGGTGGCGGCCCCACCGTTGGAGCCTGGAGTTCCCACGGTGTGTCGGGAACAAGGAATGACTCCCCCGCCTGCAAAAGAGGAGTCCCCGTGCCCAGAGCAGATTGGCAGCCTCCAAAACCTTTGCCCACCGTGTCACTTTTGAAGTCTCAAGATCCCCAAGAAGATGGAAGCTGAGGGATGAAGGGGACTTGCACCATGCCAGCGTGTGACAGTCTCCAGTCTTCCTGGGTTTAGGAAGGCAGCCAAGGAGAGGCCCTGAGGTCTCTGGTCCCAGGGACTCACCCTGCTGGGATCTGGGAGGAGGACTGGGCCTCCCTATACACCAAGTCCTTCACAGCTGCAATGTGCTCTGGGGGCAAGTCTAAGGTCCCAGCCTCTCCAGGGACAGCTGCCACGTCCTCCCTGCTGGTCCGTGGTGAGGGCCCTGACCTAGAGCCGCAGAGCCCGTCTTTGGCACTGTGCTCCCGGTGAGGAGGCACGAAGGCTCCCAGGGGAGGCTTATTATGCTCCTACCACAGCCTAAGGCCACACAGGCTGTCCTGTCACTGTTGCTGCTGCCCCTCTACTGGCAGCCCCTCGTCCATCTTTATTTGCAGGTTCAGCTCTTGCCTGGTCTGCACAGGTCCCCCTGGAGCCTGCAGAACTGGGAGCTGTTGTTCTGAGCACCTGTGGCATTTTCCCTTGAACTTGACCCTTGAATTGCCCTTCTCTGTCCCCCATGACTTGGCTCCCCTACTGGATTGTAGGTTGCTTTTTAGCAAATGCTCAGGACGAGTGAATGAGAGATGCAGTCCTGTGAGCCCTGCCTGCCGTCCCCCCTCTCTGAGCCCTCTGCTCCTCCTGTCCCCGTGTCTTGGGGCTTTGTCACCCCAGACAGGGCCTCACCTCTGCAGACAGGCGCTCCTCCCGATGGGCCAGGATGGCTGTGGGCACCGGCAGGAAGAGTTCCAGGAAGGTGCAGCAGAGCAGGGCCAGCTCCAGTCTCTGGATGTGGACCTGAGGGGCAGGGGCACAGGCACGGCCTGGCTGGCGTCAGCACCCAACACGTGGGCTTGGCAGGGGAGCAGGTGTTGGGGCTCTGTGGGGCGGGGCTGCCTTAGTCACTGCTGCACATTCAGTGCCTGCACGTGGGGTCATCAGTGAGTCTTCACCTAATGTATGTGGGCTGGAGAAACTCAGGGCTCCGGGAGAACTGAGGGTGTCCCTAAGGGCCATTGGATGCAACCCCACTCAACAGATGGGGACACCTAGGCCCAGGGAACAGGGCCTCTTGTACAGAGGGGGAGGAGAAGAGCTGGGCCTGGCACCGCCATGCAGAGAGCTGACATCTCACAAGGCCGCTGGCATTTGGTAAGGAAGCATGTGTGTGTCCATGTATGTATGCATAGGTATGTAGCGGGGAGATCGGCAACGACAAACCACCGTGGCCCAAACCCTTGGGATCTGGCCCAGAGGCACCCAGTCTAGGGGCAGCTGATGCCCCTTGTGCTGCACCCATGATGCGGTGAAGAAGGCACTGGACTTGGAGTCACGGACCCAGCTTGGAGTCCTCACTGCTCCCCTGATTTGCTCATCTAGCCTCTCTGGACCTCAGTGCGCACGCCTATAAAATGGGGATGACAGAGTGGACCGCGCTGGCTCTGCAAAGCTGCCAAGAGGCTCATGGCTAACAGGGGTCCCCGGAGGACATGAGGTTTAGAGGCTTGACTGGGGCATCAACAGCCCTGGGTGGGGGTCCTGGCTTTGCAGCCAACCTGCTGCCCCATTGTAGGCAGGCCCCTCCCAGTCCTCGGGCTTGTTTCCCCATCTACAGAAGTGGGATTGGACTCAGTGACCTGGGGATCCATCCAGTGCCTGGACACTGACCAGTGCGGGGGCCAGGCAATCCCCCTCCACTGTGCCCCGGGATGGATGGGAAGAGCTCTATCCCCGAGGGCTCCATTGTCTGCACCTGGAGAAACTGGCTGAGCGCTGGAAGCATCCTCTTAACCAAGCCCAAGGCAGTGCCTTCGCGGGGGAGCCCAGCCACTCACAATGAAGTTGGGGTACGGTTTCCAGACTGGGGACTCAAATGAGTTCTCCAGAAAGAAGTCCTTGGCGATGACCAGGAGGCCAGACAGCACGCAGAGGAAGCTGATGAGGCTTGTCAACAGGCACAGCACCTTCTACGAGCAGGAGGGAAAGTCAGAGCCAAGCCCCAAAGCTCAGGGACCTGGGCTTCTGTCCTTTTCCCAGGCCTGTCAGGAGCTTGCTGTGTGCCCAGAAAGACTCAACCCACCCCTGGGCCTGGGCTTCCTCACCTGCACCTGAAGAGCAGGGCCACTGGCCGCTGGGGGGACCCACCCAGCTCTCAGAGTCCCTGGGACAAACTGGGAGAGCCCAGGAGCTGCCTATAGAGCCCCAGAGCTTGGTAACCAAGAAGACACTCCCTGCTGGCTCCCCCATCCTACATCAGATAGGCCAACTGGCTGGGCACTGGACACCCAGGTGGTCCCTCGCCCAGCCGCTTCCCCACAGGAAAGGGTGGGGGCCCTGGAGGTGCCCTGTCCTCCACATCCAGTGTCTTCCCACTCCACTGTGATCCCTGAAGTGGTGGTCCTGGGTTCAGCATCTTCTTTGGTTAAGCCCTATTCTAAGAGTCTCTTGCCCAGTGAAACTCTTCCAACGAGCACACAGTGAGTATATGGAATCTCCACGCTTCTGTGCTAGAATGGCTCTCACTGCCATGAGCGGGCCCTGAGCTCAGCTCTAGGAAGAGGAAGGATGACAGTTCTGTGGCTCTGCAGGTCTGGGGGAATGGACAGGTGCTTGCCAAGCGTCTCCTGCCTCTGCGGCACAAGCTCCCCCCTCCCATCCTCTGCCACTCCCAGCCCCAGGCAGTCATGGCACTGCTGGGCCAGGGCTTCTGGGTAGAGGCTGGGAAAGGGATCCATCTACCACCACCCATCTGTCTCAGCTTGGGGGGGGTGGTCTACCCTGTGCCTCCATGGCCCACCTTGGGCTATACAGATGCTCAGACACCTGCTGCCCACATAGAACTTATTGTTTGGTAGGGATAGGTCAGTTTGAAGGGCCAGCTGGAGGTGGACAAGACACAGAGGCTGAGCCTTAAGTCAAAGAAGGAAGAGGGGGTGGGCATCTGGCCTAGTGGCATAGTGCCTGGGTTTAAGTCCAATCTCTGCTCCTGATTCTAGCTCCCTGCTAATGCACACCCAGGGAGGCAGCAAGTGAGGGCTCAAGTGCTTGGGTCCCTGCTACCCACATGGGAGCCCTGGATTGAGTTCTCAACTCCTGGCTTCAGTCTGGCCCAGCCCCAGATGTTGTGGGCATTTGGGGGAGCGAACTAGTGGGCAGGAGCTCTTTCTCTGTCTCTGCTTCTCAAATCAACAATTTTTTTAAAAAGATTTATTTATTTATTTGAAAGAGTTACACAGAGAGAGGAGGAGAGGCAGAGAGAGAGAGAGAGAGAGAAAAAGAGAGAGAGAGAGAGGTCTTCCATCTTCCATCTGCTGGTTCACTCCCCAATTGGCTACAACAGCTGGAGCTATGCCACTCCAAAGCCAGGAGCCAGGAGCTTCCTCTGGGGCTCCCACGCAGGTGCAGGGTCCCCAAGGACTTGGACCATCTTCTACTGCTTTCCCAAGCCATAGCAGAGAGCTAGATCAGAAGTAGAGCAGCTGAGACTCGAACCGGCGCCCATATGGGATGCCAGCACTGCAGGTAGTGGCCTTATGCATGGCCCCCAAATCAACAATTTTTAAAAGAGATGAGAGACATGAGCAGGGGGAGAGGGCAAGGTGTTCAGGCAGGGGTGATGCTGGTAAAAGGGGTTTGTATGTCTGTGTGTTGAGGGGGGCAGGGGGACTTCAGGTCCCTCTGCCTGACACACAGAGACGGGAAGTCAGTGGAGGTCCACCTGTGGGCAGGGCTGCAGGCCTAGCAGACTTGTGGTCAGTGGTGCAGTGATGGGGTGGGCTTACATTGTAAAGGGGCCATCGGGCTGCGGTGTGGAGAGAAGGCCAGAGCCGACCAGGGCATAAGTGGGACCACCATTCTGCTGGGGTACCCACTGCTGAACTCAAGGCACACACCTGCTCCCAGCAAATCCTGGAGGTCGGCCTCTCCTGTCACTACCCACAGATGCCCGATTGGGACGGGAGAGGGTGGGCTTGATGCCCACTCACCAGAGGTGATCTAGGAAAGGTCTTCATGCATATCGCCGAGACCCCTGAAACGAGAAACTGCAGGGCAGATTGGAAATCAGGGCAGAGAAGCTGTGGCTCCTTGAAACCACAGCCATCCTCTCCCCAGTCTGTGAGACCACCAACCCCTGGCAGCAGATGAGGCTGAAAACCCCACTCCTCCAGTGACAGGAGCTCACACGCGGCCCGTTGCACGCACACCGCACCTCACCTGACCCATTTCCCCTCCTGGGACCAGGCTATCCTCACAGCCCTCCCACCCTTCCTGCTCGCCCACATTATAAACCCACACCACCCCTCTGGAATCCGCTGCACTGTCCCCTCTGCCCCAGCCCCTTCTCCTATCCTGAACCCTGCAGTTAGGAGGAATCAGCACCTGGTTCTAAGGTGACGGTGGTCATTCTTCCTTATGTTCACTGAGCACTTACTATGTGCCAGCCCTGGGTGCCACACGTGTAGAAAGTTCTATCATGTGTGGTGAAAGCTCCAAGCTGGGGGTTTTGGGGACAGAGGACTGAGGTGGAAGTGGGGGTCAGGACACTTGCCCAAAAGGGGCTCTGGAGCTGGGACGTGGTGCATTAGGAAGACTCCTCCAAGGAGGCAGGATGGGGTGGGCGCTGCGGGGACCTGGACGAACGCAGTGTCTGGAATACATGCACTGCTGCTCTCGTCACTCCCGATGGCCTTGGAGGCCAGGAGCTGCACCTTGCATCCCAGGTGCTCCTGCAGCTCCACCCTGGCAGAGACCAAGGACACCAGAGATGCAGTGCTAGGTCCCAAGGCAGCTCTGGCTGTCCCAGCTCACGCTCAACCCCCCCCCCCCCCCCATGAATGAGTTCAATTAGGGGAAGGTGCTGAGAGCCTGAGGAATGGTCTTCGGAGGCTCAGGAGCAGTAGGGCCCCCAGAGAGGGAACTCTTTCCAGTGGGACCGAGAGAACAGAAGCAGAGATGGACAGAGACTGGAGAAAGGAAACTTCGCCCCTGCCAGCTCTCTCCACTCCACTGTGCATGGCCCCAAATGCCCGGCTTTCCAGGCCTTGCCACCCCCCTACCCAGCTCCTACTCACGGAGGCAGCCCCCCAGAATGGGTACCAGCACTTCAGCACCACCAGGTGAAGGTTCTTGACTGTGCCAGCCAGGAAGCCCCCAAAGAGCAGGTGCAGCAGGCCAAGAATGACCTGGAAGGCCTGGGTGGGAAACAAGGCAAGGACATCAGGTGGCTGCCCTGGACCTCCTGGCTTAAGCGAGTTCCCTTCTTACCCTCCTAGGAACCCCATCTGCAAAGACGGGACCTGCGCAGGATTTCCCATGGGGAGGCCAACTGTCCTGGAGCTGAGCCCCTCCTCGTGGTTCCCCCTGCTCAAGCTCATGGGGCGGCAGGTGCACACAGAGTTCTCTCCACACTGCAAGGCTTTTCTCTCTCCTCGGGGCTCCCAGCATGCTTCCCGTGTAGCTCCCCTCACTCCCTTCCTGCTCTGCCAGGGCCCATGGAGTGGGCACTCACACCCAGCTGCTGGAGAAGGCTGCTCCTTTTCCGGGGCTTCTGCTGCTGCCAGCTTGGAGCCAGACGCTGGGGCTGGATCACATCCGGGAACACAGCTGTGTGCCCAGGTTGGGTTGGGCTGCAGGCCTGCCACGGCGGGAGTGCCCCAGCACCAGAGCTGGAAGTAGCTACACCTGCTCCGCAGGCGTCCGCCATTGACTCAGGCTGGGCGCCCTCCCTGCAGACCAAGAAGAAGCCTCAGTCAGAACCTGTCCTGTGTCTGAGGCTTGTGCCTGTCTCTGCCTGTCACCTTTGCCTCTGGGCTGGGGCTTTCCAGAGTGGTGCTTGCCCTGCCCAGAGCCCCTGACCTCGATTTGATCTGGAATAATCTGGCCCTTGGGGATGGGGAGCAACTGGGCTCACAGCCTTTCTTGGGTTGCCAGAATACAGGTCCTTTTAGGGTAGAAAAACGAGGACTTGGGTGAGACAAACTCAATCAAACTGACCGCACTGCAGTCTGGAAGGAGCCAGAGACCAAGGAGGCCTGAGCAGGTGTGGGGAGCTTCGCTAACAGCCCATTCACCAGCCCGGGACGAGCTGATGGAGGAAAGGTGGGAATCAAATAATTGTCCGACCAGCTGTGGTGAGGCCCATGCCTCTCTGGTCTGGGAGGATGGGGGAGGGAGAGAGAGGACCCTTCTTTGCTGAGGACTCTCCATGACCCAAGACAGAGCCAGGGAGTTGATATTTAACAGTGTCAGCACTTACGAGTACTTGTTCTGTTCTGGGCACTGGGATGGGCATTTTCCATGCATTATTTGACTGTATCCTCATCCCAACCCTACGAGGTGAATACTGCCACCCTGTGCTCACTTCTGTTGTGCAGGTGGGGTCCAGAGAGGTTCAGCCACTTGCTCAGTGTCACACAGGCAAGCTATGATGGGGGCTCAAAGCATGGCGGGCTTTCCGTGGAGGGGAGGGAGCCTTGGGAGGTTGGGATGGACAGTAGCTCATGTGAGTAAATGCCCAACAGAGAGGACAGGGAAGGACACTATTTCAGAGCCAAAGGCCAGATGGGGACGTGCAGTTGGTGGGCACTGAGTGAGGGACGGTTTTGTGAGCTGACCTCCCTTAATACCCAGGGAGTGGACACAATTACATAGAATAAGGAACCAAAGTTCAGAGAGGTGGAGTGCCTTGTCCAAGGTCACACAGCAAGGAGATGCCTGGGATTGGAACCGTGCACGGTCTGACTGATCAGCAACGCTGTGGGGTCAGGCTGCTGGGTGGGATGGGACCTCCTGTCAGATGTTCCTTGGCCTGCGAGGAGATCCCCTGATTTGGTGGGGAGGATGGTCGAGGGGTCTCCCTCCTTCTTGGGTTTCAGAGCCACGCTCAGATACGTGGCCGCACGAGTCTCTTTGCTGCGATCTGAGTCGGCCATGTTGGCCACTGTCCCTCTCTCTTCAGAGGCCCCTGCATATGGCTGGACCGAGGGATGGGGCTCAAAGTCTGTCCCGTGGAACACTGGTCCTGGCAGATCTGTGGTAAAGGGGTTCTGCTGCCAAACACGTTTGGCAAACCCTAAACAGCATTGTCTCCCTCTTTTGCTTGTTAAAGGCTGTGAGAATTCCTGCCATGGAGCATTCTGCTTTAATGTGAAGGGCCACCACATGACAGCAGCGAAGGCACCGCTTGGGACGCATGCATCCCCTAGTGGAGTGCCTGGGAGGGTACAAGACTGGACTCAGCTTCCTGTCCTGCTTCTTGCAAATGCACTCTGGGAGGCTGGGAGCTGGCTGGAGTTCCTGGCTCCTGGCTTTAGCCTGGCCCAGCTCTAGCTGTAGGGAATGAACCAGTGAGGGCAAGATCTCTGATTGTCTCTGTCTCACTACCTTTCAAAGAAATAAAATCAAATAAATAAGAACGTAAATATTTATCAAGGGCATTTACCAAACCTGACTGGCTCTCCAGCCTTGGTTCTTCCAGCCCAGTGATTTGATGAACTGGAACCCTGTGGGGTCTGCTTGTGGACAAAGCAGCCTCAAACTCCCAAACTCCTGCTTTTGGGCTTTTTCTTTTGGCCTTCTTGGTCTCCCTTGGGTTTTCCCGTCTGCATAGCACAGCAGGATGGCGCTTGGGTGGTGATCTCCAGGGCTCTTCTCCTTTGCAAGTAGCTCTCATGGGAGGCAGGGGTGGGGAACATGGGCTCATGATCTGGCTCTGCCAAGGCAACTGCAGGTGGGACTTGCGGTCAATACATCCATAGCAGGCTCATTTGCCGGTTGACCATGTGGTATGCCCTGCGAATGATGTTATCGATCTCCAAATGGCCCTTGGCAGAGAAAAGGTTCCCCACTCCTGATTGGAAGTCCCCACCAGGAGCTTCCTGTAACTGGGGGTGTGGTGGGGTGTGGGAGGGAGGAGCTGAGGAGGACAGGGCCATGGATTCCGGAGGGAAAGGCCTGTTTGTTTTGAAGTCTCCTTACCACTTGTCAAGGCTAATGAATTCTGATTCTTAGAATATTTATGTCCTGGACAGGTAAAGACACCACCTAGCAGTGCTGGCATCCCATATGGGCGCTAATTCCAGTCCTGGCTGCTCCACTTCCGATCCAGCTCCCTGCTATGACCTGGGAAAGCAGCAGAAGATGGCCCAAGTGCGTGGGCCTCTGCTACTCACGTGGGAGACCTGGAAGAAGCTCCTGGTTCCTGGCTTTGGCTTGGCTCAGCCCTGGCCATTGCAGCCATTTGGAGGGTAAATCAGCAGATCTCTTTCCTTCTCTCTCTGTAACTCTGCCTTTCAAACAAATAAATAAAAATAAGTCTTTTTTTTTAAAAGCATATTTATGCCCTGCTCTCCTGCCTGCCCCAGCTGCAGGACCCATGCAGGGTTGTCTGGGGGGGCGGGCAGCAGACCATCTGGGAGCAGTGGGGGTAACTTCTGTAGCTTGCTCTGGCCAGGGCCCTCAGCCAGCTCAGGACCCACAGGTGCAGCCAGCCTGGCTCCTGAGGGAAACGCATGGGACCTCGGTGCTCTGCTGGGTCCTGCGCATTTTCCCTTTCCTGCCATGGCTCTAGAGGGCCCCAAGGACAGGGGTAGAGCTGGCCAGGACCCCTGGCCCTTCCTCTACCTCAGCAGAGCACCAGAGTGGGTGGACCATGAGCACGGACAGTGGATGAGCTGGGGCCCAATCCTAACTCTGCTTCTGGAAGCCTAGACCTTGGACGGGTTGTTGTGTCTCCCCACCTGCCTGTCCCTGGGGTGCCAATGGGATAATGCCTGCCTCAGGCCAGCCAGCCAGTGTCACCAGCAGCCACCGCTTGCCTGGAACCCTGCCAGGCAGCCTGCACCCAGTGCTGTCTGGCTCTCTGCTAAGGCGGGACCTGCCCCACCCTAATCCCAGGAGTCGAGGGCTCATTGCCTCCTGCTGCTTGCAGGGGGAGAGGGCTGAGAGCTCTGAGCTTCTGGGCAAGCAGCGAGGTGTGGAGAGTGTCCTGAGCCCCCAAACTGCCCTCCTCGGATCTGTCCGTGGAGTTCTGCACTGGACTCACAGGGACCCATGCAGGAATGAGAGCGAGCTGCCCAAGGCAGTAGGTGGCTGAGCAGGCAGAGAAGACCTGGGCTTGAATAGTGTGACCCTAGGCCGATGGTGCAGGGGAGGGTTTCTGAGCAGGTGTGTGTGCATGTGTGCCTATGTGCCTACGTGTGCACGAGTGTCCAGCAGAGAAAGGCAGATGTGTCAGGGAGGCTGATGGGAGGCTTCCCTTAGAGTACTGGGGTTTCAACGTACACCAGTGAGAACGCGTGCATGTGCCCAAACCAGCCTGTGCCCAGTCTATCTAGACAGTGCCCAGAGGTTCAAAGGCAAGGAGCCCAAGGGTCTGCAGGAAGCAGAGAGCCCTCTCGGGCTAGGGGGTGGGTGTCAGGAGGCCTGGATCCCAGGCCTGGTCCCTTGGCTTCTCTGGGTGTCTGTGTCTCTCAAACTGGTGTGTGTGTGTGTGTGTGTGTGTGTGTCTCCCAGACTGCAATGGCTGGGCTGAGGCTCCCCTAGCACAGGATGGGCTGGGGGGAGGGGGCAGGGAATCCCTCCCTGGGGAGAGGCTGATGGTGGCTCCCCCACCCCCGCCATCTCCCAGATCCTCTTCCTTGGGTGGGCCCCCCATGCTGTACCCATTGGCTCCCTTCTGGGAGTTTAAATCACGGAGTGGCGTGGGGTATAAAGGCTGTCCCCTTGCTTCAGGGAGGACCAAGCCTGGCTCCCGACCCCACCCCCCCATCCATGCCCCTCTTTGTTTCTCTGTGGGGGCTGCTCACCTGCTCTGGGAGCTTCGCTCTGAGTGTCGGTCACGTCAGGGACACGGCTGCTGGCTGGAGCCGCCCCGGGGCCCTGGGAGACAGCACCAGGAAATCAGAACATTGTTCCAGCATTCGACCTTGGATCTTTTCACTCTGCGCCGGCTAGTACAGCCTTCCCGCCCCCACACCAGGGCAGGTGAACATCCTTCGCCGTCTGGAAGTCTTGGCTCTCTTCAGTGGTTGCCGGCTTCCTTTGGCAAGTAGATGTGGACAACTAAGCCATTTCTCGGGCAGCACTGACAGAACGCACATGGTTGCAACCTACAGAGTCAGAGGCTGAGCCTTTAGAAGAAATCCTTTCATCTGGGGAAACTGCAAGCGCTCACCAAGGCGGCATGAGCCAGTCCTCCCCGGCCACCCATCTCCCAGCTGCGCCTTGGACGGCTCTTGCCTGGTGTTCTCCCCTCAGTAAGTGAAACTCAGCCACAGCGCTGTGTGAAATAGATTAGTTTGTTTGAAAGGTCAAAATGAGAGGGGGAGAGAAGGAGAGAGAGAGAGAGAGAGAGAGAGAGAGAGAAAGCTCTTCTCTCTGCTGGTTCACTCGCCAAATGCCTGCAACAGCTGGGGCTGGGCCAGGCCAAAGCCAGGAGCTGGAACTCCTTCTGGGTCTCCCGGGAGGAGGGGGGTGGCAGGGGCCTAAGTACCCAGCTGTCACCTGCTGCCTCCCGGCCGCGTTAGCAGGAAGCCAGGGCGGAAGCAGAGGCAGGACTCAGGAGGCCGAGCAGCGGCTCAGTCCTCTGCACACCATTTCATTTGTGTGCGTTTTGGTTTTTAATCTCTAAAAGATACGGTCTCTTTAAAACACCATGACCACAACTAAAAAGCTAAAATCAAGTCTCAGTGTTTTTTTTTTTTTAAAGGTCTCATTTATTTATTTGAAAGGCAGTTAGAAAGACACAGAGGTCTTCCATCCTCTGCTTTACTCCCCCAAATGGCCGCAATGGCTCCTGGCTGGGCTAAGCCAAAGCCGGGAGCCAGGAGCTCCATCCAGTTCTCCCACCTGGGTAGTAGCGGCCCAAGTGCCTGGGCCATCTTCTATCGCCTGCCCAGGGACATTAGCAGGGAGCTGGATCGGAAGCGGAGCAGCCGGGACTCGAACCAGCGCTGCCGCCAATATGGGATGCCCATGTTGCAGGTGGCAGCTTAGCTCCTGCACCACAGCGCCAGTCCCCTGGGTGCTCCTTGAGGCACATCTGTGCTCAGCGTGGGACCACGAAGCCCCGCAGAGCTCAGCTGCACGTTTAGCAAGGAGGTGAAATGCAACACCTGGAATCAGGAAAACCTTGGCCGCCCGGTTTCTGCTGCTTCATAGCAATCAAACATATTGTCAGTGTTCCAACAGCTCTGCCGGTCCCATAAACGTCTTGTTGCCTTTGATTTCCTTGAATTAGGATCTTGGCATGGCCTGCAAATTGCATTAGGCAGACTGGCTGGGCCATCTTGCCTCTCTTTGCCCCGACTCTCGGGGGTGTGGTGTGGTGGGGAGTGGTGCAGACCCCCACTGGCTGTTCTGGTGTAGGAGGAGTGGGCGTCTGTGGCCCCAGCTCCCACACTGGGCTCCTGCTCTGTTATGTCCAGAGCGGGCAGGGGAGTGGCATGCTGAGCCCCCCGAGTTCTTAGACGTCTGCGGTGCTGGGACTTGCCCACTTTGGCTTGCTGAGCGCTTCAGCCCCACTCTGGATCTTGGCTGCCTGGGCTCCAATCTCGATTCAACAACACTTTGGAATGTGTGGTCTTTGGCAAGTTACTTGACCTCTCTGGGCCTCGGCTCTCCCTCTGCCAGATGGGGATGATAATGCCCGAGGAGTGGCTGGAGGGGTAGATGAGGGGGCAGGTGACAGGCTCCAGGCAGGGCCTGGCGTGGAGGAGCTACCGTGCAGGAAACTGGAGTCTCTGTGACTCTCAGGGGCACCAAGGCTCTGTGGCCCTCCACGTTCAGTGTGGCAGGTGCACGAGGGTCACTTGCTCGCTTACCTGTCACGCCCACTCCCTGGACTGTGCAGCCCTCCCGTGGGGGTGAGGGGTGAAGTGTGGGGGATGCTGGCAGCTCTGGGAGGTCCACTTTCCTGAGGGCGCCACCTGCCTACCCCAGCTCTCAGACCCACATCCGGCCTTTAGCCCGAGGGCATCAGGCGAGGTGGGCAGGGCGGGAGTTGCATTCCGCCTGTGCTTCGCTGCTATCTTTTCTTTTCCAGAGATGAGTCATGCAAGCTTGGAACTGGGGCAGGGGTCAGATTAGGAAGCTGACGTCGCGAGGTGGGTGTGTGACGATGAAGATGATGATGACGGGTCAAAGGGGGATCGGTGGCCAGGCTGAGCTGAGACGGCTCTAGAGAAGAGAACTGGCGGGGGGGACTGTGCATGGGGCAGAAAGAGGGAAGCCGAGAAGGACGCTTGTGTAGTGGGCTGGGCTGCGGTGACGTCTGCAGTCACACTGATTGACAGCAAGAGACACAGCAGGGCAATTGGCATGGGCTGGAGGAGGACAGGGCGGGGGCGGCTTTCCAGTGGGGCCAGGAAGCAGACGCTGAAGCTGGCTCTAAGAAGGGATGCAGGAAGAAAGGGACTCGGGAGCTGGGAGCCGTCAGGGTGGTGATGGCTGGCTGGCTGCCGCGAGCTCTGTGGGAGCAGCCTCCAATGTCCTCAGGGCCGGCCAACAGGCACCTGCTGAATTGATCACACCCACGTGCGGGAGATCACCTTGCAGTGCTGCTGCGTGAGGCCCGGGTCCCGGGTGAGCCGCATGTCGGGCACGGATGGAGCTGTTCCTACTGAAATAAGGATGTTTGAAAGCCCACTGACTTCCGTGAGACTGATGACATTGGTCTTGCACCGATTTCAGTGGGGGTGGAGGGAGTGGAGGCTCAGGAGAGAGAAGCTCGCAGCTGAGGGGATTCAGGGCGTCCAGACAGGGCTTTGCAAGCTGTGAGGAATGAAATCCATGAATTCTCAGTCTGAGTTTAAATGGGCAGGAATGTAGCTGCGGTGGACGGGGTGGCGCCCAGTGACCCTCCCCTCTGAGTGCAAGTGAGGCATTCCACACACTTCTTTTTCTAATTTGCCCCATTAAAAAAATTTATTTATTTACTTGAAAGTCAGAGTTAGAGAGAGAGAGAGAGAGAGAGAGAGAGAGAGAGAGATCTCCCATAACTGATCACTCCCCAGATGGCAGCCATGGCTGGGGCTGAGCCAGGCCAAAGCTAGGAGCCAAGAGCTTCTTCCAAGTCTCTCATGTGCATAGCAGGGGCTCAAGCATTTGGGCCACCCTCCACTGTTTGTTTCAGGCCATGACCAGGAAGCTGGATTGGCAGTGGAGCTGTCTGGACTCAAACCAGCATCTATATGGGATGCTGTTGTCACAGGAGGCAGCTTTACCCGGCCCTGGGACTCACTTCTAACCTATAGACTGCTCACATTGCAAAGACGACAGGGTGTTAGTCTCATAATTATCTTGTTATATAAGACTTCATTTTAAAAATCTTTATTTCATTTGAGAGGGAGAGGAGAGAAAGAGAGAGAGAGAGTGAGAGAGAGAGAGAAAGAAACACACTCTCTCACCCAGTGGTTCACTCCCCAGATGCCTGCAATGGCCAGGGTAAGCCAGGCTGAGCCTGGGGGCTGAGAACTCAATCCAGATCTCCCATGTGGGTTGTGGAGACCCAAGTAGTTCTGTCCTCATCCACTGCCCCCACCCCCAGGGTCTGCACCAGCAGGAAGCTGGAGTTGGGAGCAGAGCTGGGACTTGAACTCAGGCACTCAGATGTGGGATGCGGCCGTCCTCAATGGCTTCTTAACCACTTGGCCAGACACCTGCTGGTGTCTTGGGTTTTGAAGGAGAAGCAGGTGTCTGTTAGATGGAGAAGTGTGCATGCTGCGGGACACGGCCCCAGCCCAGTCTTTGGGATGAAGAAAGAGAAGGAAGGACAGGGGTTGGTGGACAGCTTCAGGTAGCGAGGGCGTGGAATCCACTGTCAGATGGCGCTGGGTTCACATCCCAGCTCAGTGGCCTGGGGCATGGGCTTTCACTTCTCAGCGTCTTGTCGGCTGCAGAGTGGGGGTATGCATGCTGAGGTGGAGGCAAAACAACACCACACAGAGCACAGCTCCTGGCACCCGTAGGTGCCCTTTGGCTGTGACAGTGTTTGACAGTGACCGGCATGCTCTGATAGTCACTCTTAGAAGTCCCTGAGGTTACAGAGTCACGACAATGAGGCCAGCTCCAAATGTAAGCCATGCTGTTTATTTTCTTCCATGGCGTCGATGGGACAGGCCCCCTGCCAGAGCTGCAGGTGTCTCCTTTTCCCCGGGAGCCCCTGCCCAGCTTCCCGTGGGAATCCCCAGGGATACCCTTGCTCCTGGGGTTGTAGGGGTGGGGAGGGGAACACTGGAAGGCACAGGGAGGTCCCCAAGCTGCCCTGGGGAGGGAGGCCGCCTTCACTGGGCACCTGTCCACGTGGTGGCGGTGGGCAGAGGGGTGGGCTGGCTTCAGTCTTTCCTGCAACGCCCCTGCCCTGGGAGGTGGGCAGGGCTGGCGTCTGTAGGACTTTAGGAGCCCAGGGCAGCTGGCTGGGTCTGACATGCTATGCGGCTCAATGCCAGAGAGACTCCAGGTAGCAAAGCCGAGGCCCACCGATGTGGCGGCGGACAACGAAGGACAGAGCTGCTCTCAGGGCCACGAGACCAAGGTCAGGTCCATGGCCCCGGCTTGCCCTCTGCCCTGTGTGAAACTCCAGGGTCAGGCCCACTCCGGGCGGGCCAGGGCAGGCCTGGAACCTGAGTCTCCAGGCAGACTTGGACTGCCCCTGGGGAGTAGGGAAATGCAGAGCAGCCCAGGGCCCATCCCTGGCCCACCCAGGGCACTGGAGGACAGGGACACACGCCCTTGACATCAGCCTCCTGTCTTTTAGGACAGGAACCACTGGGGGAGGGTGGGGATACAGGTCCCCTGGGGAACGCTCCCCGAAGGAGCCACCGTAGGTGTGGGTGGGGGGATCACTGGGGAAGGTTCCCCATGAACCTGTGGGGATGGGGAGAGGTGGGATTGGGAGGGAGAGTTTGGGTTCTCGAGCTGCTACTCTGACGACTCCTTGGGCGTATACGCCACGTTGTCATAGGCAGGGGGCGGAGAGGCGGCTGGGCTGGGGATGTTGAAGTCCGTGCTGAAGGCGTTTGGGAGGAAAATAACCGGCTACAAAGAAAACACCAACCAAAACCCATGCAAGTCCCAGCGAATGCAGGCCTCCAGGGCGGTGTTACAATAGTGCCCTCTTGTGGACACTTAGAACACAGCGCCTTGGTAAGGAGCGGTGCAAGTCTGATTGGTGCTTCTAATATTTCAGAAAACGTTTTTTGGGGTCAGCTGTGATGCAGGCATGGGGAGTACAGCAGCCAGTGACACAGACACAGGGCCTGTTTCTCTAGCAGCTAAAGTCCTGGGGCTCCTTCTCTCTGGATTGCCCCTGTACCCCGTTCAGGGCTTCCATGTCTCTTGCCTGGATCCCCACTATTCTGCTGCATTTGACAAACCCCTTTGGTCAATTTCCCTAAAACCAGCTCCCTCTCCTGCTCCAAGACCACCAATGACCCAGACCACCAATGAACCCCTCCCCCCAGCCCCAACCCAACCCCACACCTCCCATGAACCGGCCCCACCTGTGCCCTGTAGCCCTGTATATCCTGCCCCAGGTGGCCTCTGCTCCAACTGGTCTGCCTTCTCCCTGGTCCTGAGCACTTCTTCCACCTGTTTCCATGTTCACTAACCGCACTCCCCACCCCCACCATTATGTTGGGAACCAAGTTCAGGTCCGACAGCTGCCCTTTCTGGTGACCCTGGTGGACTTTTGAGGAGCCCCACTTCTCCCGGCACAGAGGGCCCAATTGTCTCCCTGCCCAGGCGCTCAGCTGTGCACCAAAGCTCTCAGCCCAACCTCATAGAGCAGCTGGTCTTCGGTGCTGGCGCCCCCCTGTGGCGACGAGGAGAACAACCCTGCCTTCATGGATGGGGAGGGTCTGACAGTGGGGACTTATCGCTGGCTCTCCCTTGTCCTGTTTCCCACAGGGGACAGGAAGGGGGCTGGAGGCAAGGAGCCTGCCAGCCACCAGCCGACCTCAGCTTGGAGCACTCACCGTGTTGGCTTGGGTGCGGGTGGCTTGGCACGCAAAGTGGGTGGCAATGACTGCGATGAAGAACTCCAGGATGGTGAAGATGGTGAGCACGGCCAGGTAGCCCCTGCCCACATCCTGGGGAACAACGGCCACAGTCAGGGCCGGCCAAGATTTCTAGAACAGGAGGTCCCCGGGAGAGAAAGCCTTGCCCACGGTCTCACCACCAGGTGGTGGCTGAGCTGTACCCAGAGCCAGGGCTCCTGTGGCCAAATCTGAGCCTTTGTCTTCACGCCACCGTGCTACATGTGCGTGCCCCTGTTGTAAGGTCAAGTGAACACCCACAGTCTATTGGGGCCTCCCTCCCATTCCTGGATCTGCCTCTGCCATCCTCCAAGGTTACCACCGTGGGGAGGGGGGCATCTGACAACACACCCAGTTAGTGACGCCGAAGTCCATGAGCAGAATGGCTGTCCCGGCAAAGGCCGCCGTGGCGCTGAGAATGTTGGTGCCCAGGCTGCTCCTCACCTGCGGGAGCCAGGGAGACCGGGGGTGGAGGGCAGGAGCGCAGGGAAGAGGCAAAGGGAGAGAGAAAGGACAGGCAGCGGCTCCCCCTGCCCAGACTCCCGCAGCCATGCTGTGGGGGTGGTAGGGCTTGCTCTTATCAACCTCTCTCCTCTCCTCTCTCCTCTCCTCTCCTCTCCTCTCCTCTCCTCTCCTCTCCTCTCCTCTCCTCTCCTCTCCTCTCCTCTCCTCTCCTCTCCTCCCCTCCCCTCCCCTCCCCCTCCCCTCTCCTCCCCTCCCCTCTCCTCCCCCTCTCCTCCCCTCCCCTCCCCTCTCCTCTCCCTCCCCTCTCCTCCCCTCTCCTCCCTCCCCTCTCCTCTCCTCCCCTCCCCTCCCCTCCCCTCTCCTCTCCTCCCCTCCCTCCCCTCTCCTCCCCCTCTCCTCCCCTCCCCTCCCCTCTCCTCCCCTCCCTCTCCTCCCCTCCCTCTCCTCCCCTCTCCTCCCCTCCCTCTCCTCTCCTCCCCTCCCCTCCCCTCTCCTCCCCTCCCCTCCCCTCCCCTCCCCTCTCCTCTCCTCCCCTCCCCTCCCCTCCCCTCCCCTCTCCTCTCCTCCCTTCCCCTCCCCTCCCCTCCCCTCCCTCTTCTCCCCTCCCCTCCCCTCTCCTCTCCTCTCCTCTCCTCTTCCTCCATGGGACTTCAGGAGGGCCCCTGACCCCTGCCTCTCCTCCTGCTGGGAAGCCCCACCCCTCCGTGGCCTCTTGCCCACCCCTTCCTGCCTCTCCCCCTCTGCTCTGGGCCGTGACACTTCTGGGCTGCTCCTGAGACTCACCAGGCAGCTGGCGTGGTTCTTCTCGGCAGCCACGGAAAGGGACCCGGAGATGATGAACTGTGGGCAAGAGGCCACCAGTGAGGCTTCGGCCAGGGCACCGCGCAGGGCATGTCCTGCCAGGCCACGGGCACCAGGGAGAGGGCAGCCGCGGCCTCCTGGCTGCTGTCTCCTCAGCTTGCTGGCCCCCGGATGTACCGCACGTAGGAGGCAAGGGTTTGCACTGACCTCACTCCGGGAGCCCCATGGGGAAGGCACTGACCGAGTAGCAGCTGTGGCCGTGCACATCACGGAGTTGAGGAAGGCAGACAAGACCCCTGCTCTTTGGGCTCCCATTCCAGCCGGGCCAGATGGACACTTAGCAGATAAGCAGTGACAGACATGATGGAGGGTTGGTGATAGGAGCCACTGGTGGGGGCAGGGAAGGCCTCGCTGGGCAGAGATGCCGCCGAGAGGATGCAGGGCACGCGGGTGCAGCAGCGCCCCAAAGTGGCTCCCCATGGCCTGTGTGCTGGTGCCGGTTCTGTAGCTGACACTTGGCAGGCTGGCAGCTTGCCCGTTTGCACCCGGCTGCCACCCACAGAGAGGTCAGTAGGCAGCGAGAAGGCTGGGGGAGGCCCGTGGGGCTGAGCGGCGGGGTTGGGCCGGGCGTGGTCACAGCAGTGGCATCGGGGCTCAGGGTTGGGCACACTTCCCGGGAATGGGACGACTGTGGCCACCCGAGGAGCTGAGGGGGTGCATCCCGGCTCCTCTCTGCTTCTGCAGCCTTCCGGGGCTGTTTGGTGGGAGCTGTCACACACAGGCCTGCGTCAGCCTTGGGGTTATGCTGAGAGTTTGGGCAAAGCTGTCCTGTGCCCCGCCAGGCGCCGCGCCAGGGATAGTGGCGGGGTGACCCGGGCAGACCCCTACCCTCCCTGCCCCCGCCCCGCGCCTGCCCCGCACTCACGCAGGCTCCTCCCCAGAAAGGGACGCCGGCGTCGATGAAGAGCATCGCGAGCGGGCCGCGGCGGACCATGAGCAGCACGCTGCCGAAGCCCAGGTGGATGAGGCCGATGAGGATCTGCACCGTCTGCGGGGGGCGCCACGGCTCAGCCCGCTCCGTGCCGGCGGCCCCGGGGCCCCCCCTGGCTTCCCAGAGCCCCTGGCTAACAAACTCAGACCGTGTGAAGGGCAGGTTTCAGAAGAAAGCCTGCTCTTGGCGGCCTGCGGGATCCCCGGAGCCTGGCAGCCTCGCTGTGTCGCTGCGCACCCGCCCTACCTCCGCCCTCCAGCCTGTAGGCGACATCTCGTCCTGTGCACCTGTCTTCGCGCCCACCGCGACCCATCCCCGCAGGGTGCCGTGGCCGTCTCCCACCCAGCTGACATCTCAGCCTGCTTTTGTTTTTCTTTGAGAGTTGGCTCTCAGCCTAACCCCCCCCCCCCGCCCCATTTCCAGTAGAGGGATGGTTTTTCCAGGGTGGGGGCTTCGGGCGGATTCTGCCACACTGCCTCCTCTAATTTCTGGAAGTGGGTAGGAGATGTGGAAGATTCCCGAATCCAGCCTAAGCCCATCCCTGCAGCCCCTCCCAGCTCCGGGACCTGCATGGGACCCGTCAGTGACCAGCTTGCTTGACCACCACACACCCCTATGTGCCTCTCCAGTGCGCAGCTCTGGCTGTGAACAGCTTGCGGGTGGCCTGGAGTCCGTTTCTAACACAAGTGCCAAGAATCCCGGTGTTTCTGAGCATGGCTTTTTTGAGTCTCCTGCCCATGGCTTCCTGCAAGTCTGTCATCTCCTTGGCTTCCTATACGGTGTGGTCACCCAGCTGCCAACGCTGGGTGCTGGCTCTATGGTCAGGCCACCGCAGTTCCTTGGTAAACTCTGGCTGCCACACAGCCAGTGGCCGTCTCACAGAATCCCAACATGGTGCAGTAGGTATGGGGACCCCAAACCAAGGCTCAGAGGTGCCCGAGCTCTCCTAGCTAGAACGTAGCAGACTGGCTAAGTCCAAGGCCAATGTTTGTCTCGCTGGGTAGCGCTCCCTAGGACCTGTTTGTATTTTTCTCTGTTGATGTTTTCCAGCCATTTGTACTTGTCTCGTCTCACGCTTCTGGGGGGCATCCTCCATGCCCAGAGTCTGCTCTGAGGTTTCAGGACCCCGGCATTCGGTGCCCCATCTTTGCTCACTGTCTGCCGTCCCTGAAGGAGCAGTTTTTGGAGTGGAATTCTCCAGCCCAGCGTGCTCCAGCCTGAGGCCCTGGGCGCCACACTGCAGAGGGGTTGAAAGGAGAACTTTACAGTCGGGCCACCCTAGGTTGTAGGCTGCTGCTTACCAGCTGGGGCGCCTTGCACAAGGGACTTACCCTTGACAAGCCTCAGTGTTCTAATCTGGCCAATGGGAACCATGAGCCCTGTCTCACGAGGTGGTAGTGGGAATCCAAGACGATGCACGCACAATCCGTGACACAGTGCATGCGCCTCTCAGGGACCCTTAATAAACAGGAGCTGCCATCATCATCGTCACCATTGTCTATGAAGGCTTTCACCTTCCACTTGGAAAAACTGAGGCCAAGGGACACACTGAAGAATCTACGTGTGTGTAATATTTGTAAGGTTAGATAAGCAAGGGGCTATTAGCTACTCGCCCCACATTGAGTTCCAATGCCATATAAATGGACTGAAACGCAACCTGGAAGTTTATTTTTTTGTAACAAATAGCTGGATTTCTGTCAATCGCAGACAGCTGAGCTTCAGCCAGTCACAGGCAGCCAGCTAATCAGATGCTGCCAAAACAACACAGACACCACGTTGTAGCCATTCAGGTGATTTCTCTACTTTGTGTCTGTGTGCAGCCTATAAACGCTCACCGCTCACACCACTGGGTGGCGCTCTCGGGACCTCTCTGGTGGTTCTGAGTGCTGCCCCATTGACCGTTGTTGTTCCTTGCTCAAATCAACCCTGTGAAATTTAACTTGCTTAGAGTTTTTCCTTTTAACAACACGCTCACATCTATAATTTGTCCGTCTTCTCTAGCTATTATTTTACTCCCTCCCAGGGACCAAGGTCATCTGAGGTTGGACAGGAGCGTGGAGGCTGTCTCTCCTGGATTCTCAGTCCTACCACTCTCACCTGCCACCTCCAGCTCCTCGCCTCTCCCTCCTCCCAGTCATGCCAGCGCTCCACGTCTTCCTTGTGACCTCAGGGCCTTTACACTTGCTGTTCCCTCTACCTGGTAAAGCCTCCCCCACCTCCTCCACCACATCTTCTCTTGGCTGCCTTCAACCCAGCATCCAGATGTTGGCTTAAATGTCCATCTCCCCAGAGAGAACTTTCCGTCCGCCCCTGCTGGAGTTGTTCCTCCCCATCCATCATTTTTAACCTCATCAGCCTCTTGTCCGTTGTTTACTGAGCGCCCTGAGGGAGGGACCTTGTCCCCCTGGTACATGGCGGAATCCTCCCAGCCCTCCTGAGTGGTTCTTGACTGTGCCCCTCTCCAAGGTGTGCGTAGATGCTCTGTTGCTGGGTGCTCATTGCCTGTCCATCACCCCTGCTTCCTGTCTCGCGGTGAGGCTGTTCTTACCCCTAACGCTTTGGGCTCTCCTGTAAGGAATGTCTCCATGGGCCGGAGGTCTGGCGGCTGGCTGGCCCGTGGAGTCTGCACCCCCAGTGGTGGCTCCTCAAACTGCATGATCCCGGGATGCTGGCACAGGGAGGGTGGTCGGATGGCTGGAGGCGGGCGCAGGCCGCTGGCGTTGCTGGGGGGGATGACGACAAAGACCCCATTGCTGGCGGGAGGTGTGGACATGGTGCTCAGAGAGCCTGGGAAACAAAAGCTTGGGAGACAACGATCATACGTTTGCTTTGTGGCCCGTAAGCAACATGCCCACGGGTCCTTGCGTACGGCGGCCCGGTGAAGATGGCACCAAGTTCTCGGATCATAGTCCAGGAAGCCGAGACTCAGAGATGCAGAGGTGGTCGGCGGCTGAGCCGTGAGTTCTGTTCTCTCTGCCCCCAGAAACCCTGCTTTTAATCTCTGCGCTGTCCTATGCAGAAGAGACTTTGTAGGCTCATGTGTTCCAACAGAGAGGGCAAGTGGCTTGCCAGGGACACACAGCAGCTGGGGGGCCTGTTTCTTCACCTCTGGACCCGCCCCTCCCTGCCCCTCCCTGCCTCTCAGCCCTGTCACAATCCTGCAAATCCATGCCCGGGGAATTCCCTGCTCTGAGAAGCTTTCTCTGTGGCCACTCAGGCAGTTGCCAGGGAGGTGGCCAACACATATACGGATTCTGGAAACTTTAGGTGTGTCTGGCTTGGGCTAACTCTTAGGGAGACGATCCCACCCTTTTTACCCACAGGTCTTGGCCTCCAGAGATGGACAGGCCTCCTCTCATTTTGAGGGACGGGTGGGTGGGGCATGTACCAATAGCTGTGCTTGAGGGATGAGGAAACAGATTCAGAGAGGGTGAGTGTCTCCTCCGTGGTCACACAGCAGCTCAGCAACAAACTCCCGGCTCCCTGTGGAAGGAGTTCTGACTTTCTCTGGAATGTATGCAGCCCTGGATCTGTTTCTATCCAGTAAGGGGACCGATGCCAGGGCATCACTCATCCAAGTAACAGCTCTCCAATGCTTAGCATTCACAGAGCAGCCAATGCAAAACCAACGGGGACTGGACGAATCTGTCAGCAGGCAGGTCCACTTAGGAAACCGCCCACACACCCTTACCGTCACCTGGGGAGGCGATCTGTTAGAGTCAAGGACAAACCCCGCACACAGACCCAGCTGTGCTCAGTGAGAACCTCAGCTCTCTGCCCAGGGGGCTGTCATTCACCAGGGCTGAGTGACGGCTGCGTCAGAGGCCCACGGTGGCGTGTGGGTCCACGCGGGGCCATTCTCTGGGGGTCAGGGAGGACCAGTACTGCCCATTTCGGAGGGACTCTTGCTGGGTTCTGGCCCTGGGTGGGGCCTGAGCAGCCCGAGAAGGGAGCATATGCATAATTAACAACTTCTCTCCAGGGAGGGGTGGGTGGGTGAGAAATTCGATAAAGCAGAGACCTCATGATTCACAGGAGAAGTCACCTACAAAAATAGGCTCTCTGCCGACGGGCGGGGTAAGTGGTGATCACAGGCATGGGAGTGCCACAGTCATCGCCCTCCCTCCCCCCAGCCCTCCCTCTTGTCCCGAGGCCAGGGACTAACCCGACTCCCCAGGCCCCTGCCTTGTGCTACCCATAAAGAGAACCCTGTTTTCTCATCAAGTGAAGAGCCAACGTGCCCCAAACTCCATTGCAAGCGTGTCAGGGACAGACAAGTGGAAACAGGGACAGTCATGGGTCTCTACCACCTGGAGTGTGTAAGGCACCTGCTCAGACATCAGCGGCAGGTGTGCCAACACCTGCCGAGGGAGCAGGGGTCGTCACAGTCCCCCAGGGGCATGGTTCTCTACAGTTTAGAAAGAGCTGTCAAACCCTTGGCACAGGTCTGTGAGGCAGGTGCGAGCTGGCCCATTTTGCAGACCAGGAAAGTGAGGGTCAGAAATAGCCATGGGAGAGGGGAGAAAAGCATTTTGGTGTGATGGGTTGAGCTACTCTTGTGACATGGCATTTCATATAGGAGTGCCAGTCCCAGTGCTGGCTGCTCTGCTTCTGATCCAGCTTCTTGCTAATGTGCCTGCAAAAGCAGCAAAGAAACTACTTGGGCCCCTGCCACCCATGTGGGAGACTAGGATGGAGTTCCTGGCTCCTGTCTTCTGCCTGGCTCAGATCTGGCTGTTGTAGCCATTTGGGGGAGTGAACCAGAAGATGGACCATTCTCTCCCTCTTCCCCCACTCCCTTCTTGTCTCTGTTGTTTGTCCCTTTAAATAAATAAATCTTAAAAAAGAAAGAAAGAAAGAAAGAAAGAAAGAAAGAAAGAAAGGAAGAAAGAAAGAAAAATAGCCAGGGGCTTGAAGGCTAACATGCTTGTCATTGATGTTGAAGCCAAAGTTGCAGCTGCGTCCAGACACTGGAGGGCGCTGTGCCACTAACGGCCTGGTATGACTTAGGGAGAGCTTAGGGAGAGGAGGTGGATGAAAACCTGTTAGAGGTTTTTGCATTTGCTACCAAAGGGTTGGGAGCGGGGATTGAGGGCGGGTTTTGGGAGAGAACACTTTTTTTTTTTTAAAAAAGATTATTTATTTGAAGGCAGGGTTACTGAGAGAGGGAGAGGGTGAGGGAGAGGGAGAGAGACAGAGAGGGAGAGAGAACTTCTATTTTGCTGGATGACTCCCCAAAAGCCTGCAATGACCCTGGGCTGCACCAGGCTGAAACCAGGAGCCTGGAGCTCCATCTGGGTCTCCCACGTGGGTGGCAGGGGCCTAAGTGCTTGAGCCATCTTTTTCTCCTCTCCCAGGTGCATTAGCAGGGAGCTGGGTTGGAAGTGGAGCAGCCAGGACTCCAACCAGTGCCTGTAGGGGACGCTGGTGTTGCTGGCATTGGCTTAACCTGCTGTGCTACAACACCAGGCCTGTGAGAGAACATTTAGGATGATCTGAACCCTGGATAGGGAGGAAGGAATGCAGCTGTGTTCACTGTAAGATAAGGCAGAGGCAAAATTTATACGTACGTCCTATTATTGAACCTGCCAGAGTTCTGAGTCGGTGGAGGGCTTTTTTTTGGGGGGGGGGGGATACACAGGAAAACACAGGGGACAGGGTTTCTCCACAGAACGCTGCAGAGTCATCAACCTAACCTCTGCTGGCCCCGGGAGGGTGATGCCAGCTTAGGACATCCCCAGGCCCGCTCATGCCCCTGTTTCATTCCTTCCCTTTGTACGGCCTTGGAGAGGTCGGAGGCCCCAGTTTGCAGCTGTAGAGGAGGAGGGAAAGCAGGTAGGGAAATCCCTTCTTCCAGGCAGAGGGCTGACATGATAGTCACAATGCAGAACAAGCTGTTAAATCAGGGCGGCTTGCCTTGCCCGAGGGCAGCCAGAGAGGCCGCAGGACAGCTGCGGATCCCCCCTTATAAAGTCCCTGTGGGCCTTACAGGAAACGATGCCCACCTAGGCCTGGCATGCAGAAGGCACCTGGTCTCTGTTAGCTTCTATTAGTGGTATCAACCTTGTGGGGTAGGCACTGTTTTGCAGATGACAAAGCTGGGCTCAGAGAAATTCAGGCTGCCCCGGGGTGCTGAGCTGAACCGCACCCGAGGAGCTAGGATTTGTCATTTGAACATCTCTGGGCATCAGGTTTATTTGCATGGAGCTGGGAGCTGGCTTCATTTACAGGCTGGTGCTGCTGCCTGGGGAGGGTGTCCTGGACGAAATGCCCAGGAGCGCATCTGGTGGGGGCTGCACAGCTGGGAGGAGGCAGCTTTGCTTGGTGGTTAAGCCTCAGGCCCTGGGGTTAGCCTACTAAGGATCCGCCCTGCCACGCTGCAAGCTTACGTAGCTGTGAGACCTTTGGCAGTTGCTTAAGCCTCTCCTGGTCTCAGTTTTCCCTTCTGTCCAATGGGTGACTGTGGTGTTGGTGGGGTGCTCCAGGCTGGCCCCTGTCTGCAGCTGTGTTCTCCGGCCCCACCACTTGGTGGGTCAGGCGGGAATCACTCCTGAATTCTAAGTCTGGACCCAGCACACCAGGCTGCCCGGAGGCAGTCCTGGGGGCCTTCAGTCCCAGCCCCTCCCGGACAACCCAGAGCCGGCCCGCAGGCCTGGAGAGGATGCCAGCAGACTCGAACACATGACAGAGGAGTCACAAGTCCCCCCAACTTGCTCGCTCTGGCCTGGGCCAGTCCCACCACTCAGCCCCTGCAGGTTCTGCTCATTCCACTCTGCTGCCCAGCCCCACCGAAGGGACAGTGACAGCCCCTTCTCTTCCCTGGGCCTCCCTCGGCCTCAGAGGTATTTCCTGGTAGCCCCTTTGTGCGTGAGAATCCCTGCCAGGTCCTCCCTTTCTCTCAGAGAAGGGGGCAGGGCAGGGCCCCTGCGTCTGGGTTGGAATCCCCTTTCGCGATAGTAGGGATTGGGTTGGGGGTGGGGAAGGCTCCTTCCCCTGAGAGGATGGTTAGAGTCCTGGGGTCCTCTCTCCTCCTCTCCCCTCCCCACCCTGGGCTGGCCGGCGCCTGTCTGTGGCAGGACAGTGTGGTTCAGCCGTCCTCAGAGCCCTCCTCAAGTACTGGCTGGGTGGGCAGGACCCATGGGAGGCGAACTTCTCTGTCCAGGGGTCTTTCTCCTTGTCCTTCCCCGGGATCTCACATGCCCCCGCCCCACGTCCCTTGCTGTGCCCCCAGGGTGGCGGGAAGGGCAGCGAGTACTCACCGGGCTGTCACCGCTGCCGTGCCGGCCGCTGGCTCCTGCTGCCTCTGCTCTCCGGCAGCCGCCTCTCCCGACTTCACACATTTTCGTGTGAAAGCCTTGCTGTTCGTACAGGGCTGGGACATCGGCTGCTGTTCTGGAAGTTCTCACTCCCTCCTGGCTCTGAGATCTCCACCTTTGGCCCGAAGGAGGGGGCCGAGGAAGCCGTTCCAGCCGATTCCCATCTTTCAAACTACAGGAGGTGAAACTGAGACCCAGAGAGGTGAGTGGGCTGCCGGGGTCCCACCGTAAGTGTCAGAGTAAGGAGGGGAAACCCAGAGTCCATGAAGGAACAGGGGTGCCCCATGGCAGAGAAGGGGCCAGGTGGCCCACAGCTTCCCCAAGGAGTGGAGCAGAGTGTGTGTGTGTGTGTGTGTGTGTGTGAGTGCGTGAGCATGCACATATATGTGTGAGGGGTCCGTGTGCCTGTGAGTGCGTGTGTGCACAGAGTGGCGTTCGGGTGGCCTATGGATGCGACACCTTTGCACATGAGCTTCTGAGTTCAAGTTCTCACCCCAGGAGCCTCTGAAGCCTGTGTCAAAGTCAGAAAGACCCCACAGGACCTGTGGGCTCAAGATGGCCCAAGGAATAGGCTGCAGGGGCCTTGCTGGGCCAGCTCTCAGCTACCCCAGGTTTAGAACAGTGTGGCAGTTGAGTGCAAAATGGCCTTTGTTTCCCCCACCTCCATCCATGAATCCACAGGTCTTGCAGCTTGAGCTGGAGCCTATTTTGCCTGTTCCCTTGAAGTGGGACCACCTCGTGGTTTCTCTTGCCAGCAAGAAGAGCCCGACATGGCACATGCTGGTTCTGGTCTGAGGCCTCTTGTTCTCTTGGGATGCTGTGCCTACCGTGGGAATGTCTGGACTGGCCATAGAGGATCATTCTTATGGAGCAAAGCAGAGCCATTCCACAGAGCCCCACCCATGCAGCCAAGGTCAGCAGGGCCATCTAACCAACTCCAGGTGCATGGTTGAGTCCTGCCAAGCCCAGATCAGATCTGTAGAACCGCCCAGCTGACCAATACATTGGTGAGCAAAAATCAGTGCTACATTGCCAAGTTTTTATAGGTGTTTACTCCACAGCACTTAGGTGGGGATAGCTAAGTGATACAATCATTTCTTTTTTTTTTTAAAAGATTTATTTATTTATTTGAAAGTCAGAATTACAGATAGAGAGATGGAGAGATAAAGATCTTCCATCTGCTGGTTCATTCTCCAACAACTAGGACTGAACCAGGCTGAAGCCAGGAGCTTCATCCGGGTCTCCTAAATGGGTGCAGGGGACCAAGCACTTGGGCCATCTTCTGCTGCTTTCCCAGGCACATTAGCAGGGAGCTGAATAGGAAGTAGAACAGTCGGGACTGGAACTGGAGCTCAAATGGGATTCAGGCATTGTAGGCGGCAGCGCCAGCCCCCTAGTCCATTTCTTTATGGTGATCTTATCACTTCTTATATCAGCAACTCCATAGGATAGGGACCAAACCAAGCATTGTCAGGGCTCAGAAAACTATACCCCAAAGTATGGCGCTTTGTCATGCTGAGTGCTATGAACTGAAAGGGAACAAAGCTCTCTCTGTCCTTCTCTGTTCTCTCCCCTTGACACCCACCCCCTAGTCAGGGGAGGAGGCTTTCTCTGAATTTCCCTTTTCTTTTCTTTTTTTCAAGATTTATTTATTTATTTATTGGAAAGAGTTACAGAGAGGCAGAGGCAGAGAGAGAGAGAGAGAGAGAGAGAGAGAGAAAGGTCTTCCATCTGCTGGTTCACTCCCCAATTGGCTGCAACAGCCGGAGCTGCGCCAATACGAAGCCAGGAGCCAGGAGACTCTTCTAGGTCTCTCACGTGGGTTCAGGAGCCCAAGGACTTAGGCCATCTTTTACTGTTTTCCCAGGCCATAGCAGAGAGCTGGATCTGAAGTGGAACAGCTGGGTCTCAAACTGGCACCCATATGGGATGCTGGCACTGCAGGCAGTGGCTTTACCAGCTACACCACAGTGCCAGCCCCTCCTTTAACTTTCTTTTTCTTTTTTTTTTTTTTTGACAGGTAGAGTTAGACAGTGAGAGAGAGAGAGACAGAGAGAAAGGTCTTCCATCTGCTGGTTCACTCTCCAAATGGCTGCAATGACCAGAGCTGAGCTGATCTGAAGCCAGGAGCCAGGAGCTTCTTCTGGGTCTCCTACATGGGTACAGTGGCCCAAGGACTTGGGCCATCCTCTACTGCTTTCCCAGGCCATAGTAGAGAGCTTGATTGGAAGTAGAGAGGCCAGGACTTGAATTGGCGCCCGTATGGGATGCCAGCGCTGCAGACCAGGGCCTTAACACGCCATGCCACAGCGCCGGTGCCTTCTTCTTATATTGAGAGGAAAATAGCCAAAACATCTTTGGCAGAAGGTTCTACATTGAGCTAAAGGATCTAAAACATGTTTAGGAGGCTGCTTTTTTTTTTTTAAGATTAAAAAAAAATTTATTTGAAGGCAGAATTACAGAAAGGAGAGAGAAAGAAAGAGAAAGAGAAAGAGAGAGAGAGATCGAGAGAGATCGAGAGAGATCGAGAGAGATCTATGGGTTCACTCCCCAAATGGCTGCAATGGTTGGAGCTGCGCCGATCCGAAGTCAGGAGCCATGAACTTCTTCCTGGTCTCCTGGTTCCATGCAGGAACCCAAGCACTTGGGCCATCTTCCACTGCTTTCCTACGCCACAAGCAGTGAGCCGGATCAGAAGAGGAGCAGCTGGGACATGAACTGGCTGGCACCCGTGCAGGCAGAGGCTTAGCCCACTATGCCACAGCACTGGCCTGGAACCCTCAGATATGGAGAGCACATTTTCTCTTCCCCTCTGGGATGCTGAAATGCACAGACTAGGAACGAACAGCGGGGCAGGTGGGAATGTCCAGACCCTAAGCCCAGCCGGGCACTTAGCCCCCTGCTCATCGATCACAAGTTTCCTGGGTGATTTGGCTGCTCCAGGAAAATCACTCTTTCTATTCAGTGCTTCTTTTCCTCGTTTTTCCTTTTGGGAATGTTTGATTCTTTCCTGTTAGTTACCAGTTCTCAGACTGCCCTGGAAGTCTCCAAAGATGACCAATAGTTTTTTTTTTTTTTTTTTTTTAGTGTTATTATGAGGCCTTGTATTTCAGTGCATCACAGGTGTTGTCGCTATTATTATTCTGGAAGCCACCTCACCTCTTCATGATCCAACAACTAAAGGGCTAGTGCCTGGTGCACCTGGGGACTTCCACAGCCCTGAGCCTCCACTGTGGCCTTTATGATTCTGAGTGGTCATTCTTGGTTGTTCCCTCACCATTTAGACGAGATCAGGTGCGTTCAGGGTGGTATGGCCGTAGGCTCCCTCACCATTTAGTACAGTACCTGGCACACAGCAGGTGTTTATAATGCCCATGGATTGTGTACACAATGGGGCACAGTTTCTTGCAGCCGACCTAGAGTGTCATGGGCGCTGCGTGGACCTGTGCTCCTTCCCTCCCGCTGCACTCTCTCAGCCAGGCTTGGTCAGAGGCTGGGATGTGGCTGTGAGTCCAGTGCTCTGCATCTCAGCCTCTAGGCTCTCCTTATAGGTGGAGCAGGAAGGGATTCCCCCTTCAGGCCCCTTTGCCTGTCCTCTCCCCAGGGATCAGCTCTGTGTGTGGGCGCTGCTCCTTGGCCAGTGGTGCGTTATCTTTTCCTGCCTGTGGGCTAAAATGGGGGTGGCTTTTTAGGGAGAAAAGGAAACTCCATGATCCCAGGTTGGGTGGCGGGCAGAGAGCAGGTCAGGAGACAGGGAATCCTGCCTCGTGCTCTTTGCTCCTTGACTGTGACTCAGAGAAGGGCTTGTCTCCAAGTCTCAGTTTCCTCATCTGTAAAATGGGCTGAGAATATGTATGTTGGTGTTGGAGATGGAATTACATGTGCCCAGTGAAACGTGGGTGCTATGCACCTGTTAGCACCCCACTGCCCTCTCCCCCAGCACTCTGGTTCTTGCATGTAAATGGTCTCAGAAGCTACATTCTATTGGGTATACAGTGGTCATAGGGCCCTCTGGTGATTGGTGACAGAAATGTGTCAGCAGACGTTGTGATTAGAGAACTTCAGGCTACCAGGTGGGACAGCATGGGGGTTTCTGATCCTTCACCTGTTTCGTTGTCTCCCATTCTCACTCTTGGCAGAAAAGAATACTTGAGCATAATCGTTCACTGAAATGATGCCAGGAACAGAGCGAGAGAACATTCTGCTGGTCCCCTGTAGATGACTCCTTTGGAAATAGCCCTGAGGGATCTGTCAGGAGCCACCATCACCTTCATGCATGGCACCAAGGATATAGGTCTCATTCAGACCTCATGGTTGGTTGTCAGGTAGCAGTCAGAACTCCATAGGAGGGCAGAGGGACAGGAGAGGGGGGAGGGGACCCCTGCAGTGGAGTCTATGGGCTGCAAGGTGCATGCAGAAGACCTGCTACTCCCTAGGAAAACTTTATGCAAACAGGGAAAGGATCCTTCATTAAGTGCTAACATCGTTTGAAGTGAGTGTAGGTGTTATCGCACAACCTCAACATCTCTTCTTCTGGGCCAGGAGTGGGGCATACACTCTCCCATTTGCACACCCTAGAGTGCTGGGGCACACATACACACACTGCTAGCTGGCATGGCACACACTCTGTATGGCTCCTGGTACTTCCTGGGAGTGATTGTGTTAGGGTTAGAGTCAGAGGAGGGAACAGGAGTTGAACCTCTAAACGTTGCATGGCTGAGGCAATAATTTAGAACTGGTTTCTCAACAGGGAGTACCTACCAGGAGCAACAGAACAAAAATGCACCTGCAGTGTGCCAAGGTTCAAAGATATCTAGAGCTGAAGGGAAATTATTTATGAGTCATGAAAAAGCCATTAGTAGCAAACAAGAATGAAGCTTAGTGGTGCGGAGGGGGAGGAAATAGTTGTCATGTTAGTCTCGCAATAATGTTATGTCAAGGTCATGAAGTTTCAGAAGGAAGAGAGGACTCTGCTGCAGTGGTTCCTCCTTGTTCTGGAAGAGGCTCCCCATGCCCACTATCTCCGGGTAACATCAGCTACTTCCTGGTATGAAGGTTCAGAATACGTAGCATAGGCAGGAATGGTGGTGCTAATGGTGGCCGGACTGGTGGCAGTGTGGACAGGGCCAGTGGCAGAGTTGACAGGGATGACAACACTGTTGACAGGGCTGGTGGTAGTATTGACAGGGCCATTGGTGGTGTTGACAGGGCCAGTGGCGGTGTTGACAGGGATGACGACACTGTTGACAGGGCCGGTGGTAGTACTGACAGGGCCGGTGGCGGTGCTGGTTGTGTTGATACCGAACATGGTTGAAAGCATTGACGTGCTCTGAAAAGCAAAGGACACGAAACCATCATCTTCCTCTGTAGTAAATCGCAAAAGTGGCTACAGATTCTCCCTCTTTCTGTTCCCATGCCCTTGGGTAGGTCCTCGCTCACTTGGTCACATGAGTTTCTCTGGCTAAGGGAACATCAGCAAATGTGATGCAGGCAGAGTCCTGTGAAGTGTTTGTCCATTGGGGCTTGCTCCCTCTTGTTGCCCTTAGGAGTACCAAACAGAAAATAGCCCAGGCGGGCCTGCTGGGGAATGAGAGACAAGTGGTCTGGTTGTCCCTGATCGTAGCCAGCTTGCCAACTGCCAGACGTGTGAGCCCATCCATGACCATCCAGCCCCTCAGCAACTCCCCAGTAGA